TTGAATTTATAAATAGAGCGGACGCCATAAAGGTTAGCTCGTGAGATCCTTCTTAGACTTCCTTGTTGCCAGAGAAAAAATTAGAATTTTTGAAGAGGTGGGCCGCAGATTTCAGGAGGGGGAGGGGGATTAAAAGAAAAGGAATGTAGACTATCTTGGATCCAGATTTCACCCACAGCCACGAAAATCTCCTGGCGCACATCTTGCAGCGTTCCAGTATTTGAAGGGCTGCCACAAAGAAGAGGAGGGGTCAACTTATTTTCCAAAGCACCAGATGGCAGGACAAGAAACAATGGTTGGAAACTAATCAAGGAGAAAAGCAACCCGGAATTAAGGAGAAACTTCCTAACAGTGAGGACGATTAGCCAGTGGAACAGCTTGCCACCAGAAGTTGTGGGCGCTCTTATCACTGGAGGTTTTTAAGAAGAGACTGGACAGCCACTGGTCTGAAATGATATAGGGACTCCTGCTTGATCAGGGGGCTGGACTAGAAGACCTCCAAGGTCCCTTCCAAATTTATTCTGATTCAACTGAACTGAATTTTTTGAGGAGCAGATGACCATGCAAATTAGCTTAGGGATCCCATTGGATCCGGATCTTCTCGGCCAGCGAATTAATCAACCTGCCCCCGCCCAATAAATGCTGATTTAAATATTTCTCCTTGTTTTCAGCTCCCCAAATATGTATTCGATTGCAACTCTGGGCCTCTGAAAACAAGGCTGGGGAGATTTACTGCACGCCCACCCGAGTGGCCTAACTGAAGTGGAATTTTATTTATTTTTTTTGTGAATGAAGGCGGTGTGGAAACGTCTTCCTGTCTTTCTGTTGAAAGCTTAATCTTGCTGACTAAAGGCAGGAACGTAAACATGAGCTGCGTGGAGAATTTATTTCAAACACAACGGGAAGCTTGCCACGAAAAGCTCAAACGTAAGGGAGTGAGTGGCGTTGTTGTTTTTATTGACGGCTGTCGTGGTGAGCCAAGTTACCGTCGGTGGGGGGGCATGGGGGGGCTTCTAGGGACGGAGCAGAGACGTCACGCCCTCCTGAAGCAACACCGGTTGCGGTGAAGAGCCAGGAGGAAGCTAGTGGGGGCTGTGAGGTCATCTGCACTACCTCTTTCCGAGTAGAACTGAAGACGTTTAGTTTTCTGAGTCACGTCAAAATGCTCCCCCTCTCTACGACAGCTTGAAAACTCAGAGCGACATTAGTGGAAGGACTTTCTCAGATCCGGGGTGAGGTTCTAGAGCTTTTCAAGACTGGGGAACACCTTACACTCTGCTCCGAGGTGCAAAATAGCAGTGGCCTCGATTGCATCTCTTTGGAAAAAAACGCTTGCTATCTTCAAGGGATGTGTGAATTGCCTTATTTCTGCATGTTCTTCCTGTTCAATGGCTCTGTTTACAGCCATGTTTTGAGTCATCTCGGATTGCCTTCCGAGAAAGCCCAGCAAAGGACTTCAGACTACAGGCGTTTACAGTAAATAGGTCCCTGTGTCTGAAAAGGGCCGTCAGATGCTTAATTATTCCGGTTCAGGACTATCTGGCGTTTCCTGAATAACATCCGTCTGCTTCCAGCGTCCAGGTTAGGGCGGGGAAGAGAACTTTTGCCTTCTGTCTTTTACTCTTTGCTCGCAGTTTACAAGAGGGAGGGAGAGAGTGTAGGGGTGTGTGTGGTTGAACGTCGCTAAATAATTAGACCCCTGCAATGGATGAATGAATGGCTGCCAAAGTCGATGGAGTTAGCATGGAGTTAGTCGATGGCTAAATTGACGGGCTTTGATTAAAGGGAAAATAAAACACAATCACTCTGGTTGCGACTCGGAAACGGGCTTCTTCTGGACTTTGTGCTCGAGGTGGTTAAAAAAATTGGAAACTTTGAATTTGGGTTTTTGCCGATGAGATAGGTTTGTTATTAAAGAAAGGGCTAGTTTATACTATTATGTAAAAGCAAAAAAAAAAGAGTTGAGGTTGGATGTCATTGTCATATTCTACCACACCAAAGAGAGTCGGATGTCAATGCTTTCTCTTAATTTTCCCCCTTTTCTTCCCTATCTTTCCTACTATTTTCTTTTGCATTTTTATTTTACATTACAAATTAATTTTAAAAAAAAAGTTTTAATCATACCGTGAATTAGCCACCGACAGGTTCGTTGTTACAGAAATGGCTGCTTTATATTACCGCGTAAAAGTAAAAAGTTGTGGTTTGATGCTATTATTTTATTCTGCTGCACTAAAAGGAGTCGGGAGTCGATGCCTTTTCTTCCTTTTTTCCTTCCCCTTTCCCTCCCTCGCTTTCCCATTATTTTCTTTCTGGTTTTTTTTTTGGGTATTTTATATTATAAACTAATAAAAAAAAAGAATGTAGCTAATAATTAGGCTCTACCAGGAGGAAGTGTACATTACTATCGCTTTCGTTGCCGGGAATTCTTCAGCGTGATGGATGTGATTTAAAGGTTGAGCTGGTGAAATTGCCACGAGAATACTAAAGACGGGCGAATTTTTCCTTCGTAGATCTCGTGGCATAAATGCCTCGAGATAACAGACTATCAAAGCCACCCAGGAATAAGAGACCCAGGGTAGGTGGGGCGTTTTGTGACGCCCATCTAAAGAATGCAGACTCAAGTTGTGGGACCATGGTTTTAAAAACATTGGGAGCCTTGCCAAGCATCTTGACAGAAGATGGTTTATGGGCAAAATGAGAAGGTGTTATTGAATAAGAGCAGGAGAAGAAAAATCTTAACGGTTTTTGATGTTTCTGCTCGGTCGCATTTTTTTTTTAAAAGCGAGGTCTTGGGACTGTTCTCCAGATCGTATCTGGGAGATGCATTGGAAGCGGAAAGGTGTATTAATACATGCCCAGATCAATAATGGTGTCGCCCCAAAATATTTTGATTCCAGGAAAAATTGGAGAGGTTTCCATGTAGTTGACCAAGCTGGAAGAAATGCAGAATGTTTATGGAGATCCTCCGTCATCCAGGTCCTGGTTGTCCCAAAGATGCTTTTTCAGGAGGCAACTGGACTTTCTGCTTTTTCTTTGAAGATGTTTTGCTTCTCATCCAAGAAGCGTCTTCAGCTCTGGCGTAGCTAAATGTCTATGGCGATTCTCAGCCATCCAGATCCTGGTTGTCCCAAAGATGCTTTTTCAGGAGGCAACTGGACTTTCTGCTTTTTCTCTGAAGATGTTTTGCTTCTCATCCAAGGAGTTTGTCCCAAAGGTGCTTTTTCACCTGTCACAAGGAAGTCCAGTTGCCTCGTGAAAAAACACCTTTGGGACAACCAGGATCTGGGTGACGGAGAATCTCCATAGACATCCAAGAAGCTCCTTCAGCTCTGACCGGATGGTGGAGAATGGAAGGATTTATTTCTGTCTGCAAGGAGTATATAAATCCTTCCCTTCCCCACCATCCAGTCAGAGCTGAAGAAGCCTCTTGGATGGGAAGTGAAACATCTTCAAAGCAAAACCAGAAAGTCCAGTTGCCTCCTGAAAAAAGCATCTTTGAGACAAGAAGTGCACAACCAGGTCTTAATTCTTGTTTTGGCTGTGTTGTTTCGGAACTTGTTTACATTTAACAGTTCCCCTTCCTCCTTTCTCTCTTTCTCTCCTTCCTTCTGACACGAAGATGGTTTTCCATCTTTGAAACTGCCTGACCTAACATCAAAATGGTCCCACGAGCAGCCAAAGGCCTTTTAATTTGTGTGGTGGGTTTTCATTGCCTCTCTGCAAAGATTTATGGGTGGTTTTTTTTCTTGCTTGACACAATAGGCGTGATGGCTATAATTCTGTGTTTGCGAGTTCCCAATCTATTTTGGAGAGATGCTTTCTTAGCCATTAGTTGTCATCCTCTAAGTGGGGAATAATATATTTCTTATTTTGCTACCTCCTATCTTTCTGCTATCCCACCCACCCTTTGACTTATGTTCTGCGAAGTTCTTGATGGAGGGTCCCTATCGACCGCAAGCAGATTAAAAGCAAACAGAACTGAGAAAAGAAAGGGAATTAATGTTCTTTTTTTTTTGTATAACAAGTTTTTATTGGTTTTCCAGTTTTACATTTAAGTACTTAGAAAGCAGTGGGGTGATTGGGTAGTCAATAGTACAATAACAAAATCTTTAGTACATATCTCAGGTTACATCGTCAAAAAATTCCTTCTCTATTTCCCTTAACATCTGCTATATCATATTTAAGCTAGTAAGTTTGTAATTATAACAAGCTCAGTTAAAACATTTACCAGTATATTTATGTTTATGCATATCCATGTCCTGTATTTAAATTTTACCTAATTTTGAATTTTGAATTACAGTATTCCAATTTAACCTTTAATATCCATAGTATTTAAATTTCGGGTAACCCAAATTTCCTTTATTTCACTGCATAAAAATTATAATATCTAAAATACACCTATTACTTACATGAAAATTAACTATTAGGAAATAGCTTTGAATTATCGCTTAGCCCAGATAACATAGACGATGGATTTGAGACAATAAAGGAATACTCCGTTAGTAAGTGGTGATGTACTAGGATGAGAAATAGAAAATGTCTCTGAAATAAAATAAGAATATAACTAATGTTCTTATTACTGACCTTATAAGGAACGTTTTAGGATGTTTAGATGCTCATCAGAGCTTTTGGTACAAAAGAGGGGGAGCTAAGGTTGAATTGTTGAGTTCTTGATGTTCTCCAAGCTTGGTGGTTTTCGGACATTCTGGCCAACATTACTCCTTTTCCTGTGGACATTTCTTTGGTGTTGTCCTTCAGATGTTGTCCAAAAGCCGCTTCATTATACCAGTTAGGTAACATCATCCCTGCATTGATTGCGTGACCTAGGCTGATTGTGAACCATCTGCAGGAAAGTTCCGAGAACACCAAGAACCTCCAACACCGGCGCTTTGCCAAGGAAAGGTCTGGAAGGACAGCTTTGATGCCCTCCTTCTGCTCATTTGTACCCAAGTCTTGGGAGTCTCTTTTCTTTGACATCTCGATGTTCTTGTTTCAGTACAGCCGAAAGACGCGGCTTGGCATGTTACAATGGAAGGACAACACAACCATCCACACCATCTGGGGGACCAGAACCTACTGTGCAAAGTGGCAAGCTCAGAATATCAGCATGACACGCAAGTAAGCCCCCCCCCCCCGTTTTGAATTCTCTTTGGGGTCGATGGGTTTGATGGCCACCCAGGTCAGCAGCTAAAAGGTCCTCAGAATTAGGATTTAAGCACCTATATTTTTATCTCTCTCTCTAACTTGCAAGTGATCAAAGTTATCGGTAGTTCTCTCTCTCTCTCTCTCTTCACTCTCCTCTCCTCTCTCTCTCTCTCCCCTCTCTCTCTTCTTCTCTCTCTTCCTCTCTCTTCTTCTTTCTTCCTCTTTCTCTCTCTCTCTTCCTCTCTCTCTCCCTCCCTCTCCCTCTCTCCCTCTCTCTTTTCTCTCTTCCTCTTCCTCTCTCGTTGTTCCTCTCTTCCTCTCTCTCCCTCCCTCCCTCTCTCTCTCTTCCTCTTTCTTCCTCTCTCTCTCTCTCTTCCTCTCATTCTCTCTTTCTCTCTCTCCCTCCCTCCCTCTCTCTCTTCCTCTTCCTCTTTCTCTCTCTCTCTTCCTCTCGTTCTCTCTTCCTCTCTCTCCCTCTCTTTCTCTCTCTCTCTCCCTCTCTCTCTCTCTCTCTCTGTCTCTCTCCCCCCCTCCCTCTCTTCCTCTCTCTTCATCTTTCTTTCTCTCTCTCTCTCTCTCTCTTCCTCTCTCTCTTCCCCCCCCCCCTCTCCCTGCCCCAGGAGAAGAATGGTCAGTTTCCTAAATTGTCTATGAAGATTCTCAGTCATCCAGGCCGTGGTTGTCCCAAGGGCAACTTGGCATTTTCCCATGAAAACGTTTTACTTCTCATCCAAGAAGCTCCTTCAGTTCTTGGATGAAGAACTTCTTGGAAGAACTCCTAGAACTGAAGAAGCTTCTTCGATGAGAAGTGAAACGTTTTCAAGGGGGAAAAAAACCCAAGAAAGTCCAGTTGCTTTAGGAAAAGCACCGTTGGGTTTCCTAGACTGTATTTGAACAAGAGTTCCTCCGTCACGTCTCTCATCAACTTTGCCTTAGCATCTCACATGGACAACCTTGCTGTGATGTTTTCCTAGAAAGAGTTGGGCTTATGGTTATGGACTTCAACTCCCAGAATTCCTCAGCCAGCATGCCTGACTGAGGAATTCTGGGAGTTGAAGTCCGCAAGTCATGAAGGGGCCATAGTTCCCCCATGCTGGCTCAGGAATTCTGGGAGTGGAAGTCCGCAAGTCATGAGGGGGCCATAGTTTCCCCCATGCTGGCTCAGGAATTCTGGGAATTGAAGTCCACAAGTCATGAAGAGGCCATAGTTCCCCCATGCTGGCTGAGGAATTCTGGGAGTTGAAGCCCACAAGTCATGAAGGGGCCATAGTTCCCCCATGCTGGCTAAGGAATTCTGAGAGTTGAAGTCCGCGAGTCATGAAGGGGCCATAGTTCCCCCATGCTGGCTCAGGAATTCTGGGAGTGGAAGTCCCCAAGTCATAAGAGGCCATAGTTCCCCCATGCTGGCTGAGGAATTCTGGGAGTTGAAGTCCACGAGTCATGAGGGGGCCATAGTTCCCCCATGCTGGCTCAGGAATTCTGGGAGTTGAAGTCCACGAGTCATGAGGGGGCCACGTTTGAAGACCCCCTGGTCTATTGCTTGATGGGTGACAGGTCATCCAGTTATTGTTACAGCAGGAGAATTGTGCATTGACCCCAAAGAAGCAACGGTGTTCGTTTTCCTTCAGAGTGTGAACTGGTCAGGCCATCATTGCTGAGGGGTTGCGTAAGGGCCACGCGCCCCTCAAGAGTTTGGAGCTGAGTTACTTCAGCTCAGCTGTGGAATTTGTACCAGCCATCAATTGCCTACAAATGCGGGTGTTTGGTTCACAGCCCCTTCTGCAGTGCAGCAATTTGTCTTATTAAGTCATTTAATAGTAATTGATCTCCTTGAATTAGCCAAGTTATGTTTTGAGCAATTAGGGTTAATTACAGCCTCATTTGGCAGAACGGAACCCCGTGTAATTATTCCATGAATGAGATTAGGATGTGTTCTTACTACAACAGACACACACATGGCATTGTGGAGGGCATGCTGTTATTTGTAATAACATGGTTAAGGGTAATTGTCGGTTGATAATTCTGGGGTTTCGTTGGCTTCACTGTAGGAGATCCCATTGTCAGCCGTGGCTATTTTTTATTTTTTTTTTGAATGGGATCTTGGCTGCTCTCCTCCTGGGTTAAATCTTGTGAAAGGAAGGCAGCACACACAATTTGAAATTTTGGAACGGGTTTCCTTAAGGAACTGTTGCAAAAGCCAGTCTTATCAAGGAGGGAAAAAAAAGTGTTAATTGAGGAGAGAAGACGATGGGGTCGACAATGGGTTGAGACGGGATGCTAAACACAACAGCCACAAAAATTAGGCTTGAAAAACTTGCTGGGTGTCACCCAGTTTGTTTGTTTGTTTGTTTTTTTAGTCAAGTCACAGTTTTTGGACAACGTGTTCCCAGATTTCAAAGGAGGATTAATTAACTGCACCTTCCTCTTTTCCTGTTTATATATATAATTTTTTTTTAGCCAGCCGATTTCTTTTGTGACAACAGGACCTACTAATTAGAGAAAACGAGGACGTAACTATATATGGGCTGGTATGTAATTGCTGCCAATGTCATTTCTTACCAACCTGGCATGGGTGTAGTAGGGAGGTCAACATTTTCCCGGCGGTCAGTAACTCAAGTGAGAAACTTTATTTAACCTGCCTTTTATTGTTTTGCTGCAAAAAAAAACCAACTAGGATTGTTTCCGTTCACATATTGAGGTTCTTTTTTTAAAAAAGGGCTTGCAATTAATCTACCAAATTGATTTTGATTAATGTTGGCTTGAGTTAGATTTAATACTAGTCAGGCGATAAAACTGGCTTCTGAAGAAATCCTTGTTCCCCAGAGATACGGTTCAGTTAAACTTTCAATGTAAACATCTTAAGTTTAAAAAACAAAAACACTTAAATTGACACTGTGTATTTCACTCCTGAGACTGCCGTAATTTCAAAGGAGACACTGATATATAGGCATTTACAGCAGTAAATCCTTCTGTTTCTCTTTTTTTAATTTGTCCCCATCTGTTGATTGTTTGGGGACCTGTTAGCCTTTCTACCCGTTTGACGGGCAACTTTCACAAGGCTACACATAAAATGTGTTTCTTCCCTGCTTTACAACATGGGTTCACACACCACACAAAGTCTGGCCCGTGTTCCGTATATCCACCACCGATAATGTTCAAATAATCAGGGTTAAACGGACCTGGATTAATGTGGGGTGTGAAGCCATCAGATGTGTGCTGGTGTGTCTTTGCTGTTTGTGGTGGAATATTTGGTTAAAGAAGGTTTTAAAAAGCCACGGTTTTGTTCTTTGGTGGGCCTCCCATGGCTTCCCCCACCCCTGGGGCACCCATACTCCACTTAACGACCTGTGCAGCCGCTTAATGACTGCATTGAGGAGAGCAGAGGTGTGGGTTGTTAAGGCGCCTTGCTTAACAATCGTAAGGACCTACAATTGTAATGAGGCTCCATAATAATAATAATAATAATAATAATAATAATAATAATAATAATAATAATAATAATAATAATAATAATAATAATAATAATAATAATAATAATAATTAATAATAATAATAAAGTTGGAAGGGACCTTGGAGGTCATCTAGTCTAACCCCCTGCTCAGGCAGGACACCCTATACCATTTCAGACAAATGGCTGTCCAGTCTCTTCTTAAAAACTTCCAGGGTTGGAGCATTCAGCGCTTCTGGAGGCAGGTTGTTCCACTGGTTAATTGTTCTCACTGTCAGGAAGTTTCTCCTTAGTTCTAGGTTGCTTCTCTCCTTGGTTAGTTTCCATCTGTTGCTTCTTGTCCTGCCCTCAGGGGCTTTGGAGAAGAGCTTGACTCCCTCTTCTTTGGGGCAGCCCCTGAGATATTGGAAGACGGCTATCATGTCCCCCCTCGTCCTTCTCTTCGTTAAACTAGACATACCCAATTCCAGCAACCATTCCTTGTATATTGGAAGGGACCTGTCCGGTTGGAAGGGACCTGTCCGGTCCCCTGATAATCTTCGTTGCTCTTCTCTGCACTCTTTCTAGAGTCTCAACATCTTTTTTACATCGTGGTGACCCAAAGTGGATGCCGTATTCCAAGTGTGGCCTCACCAAGGCATTGTAAAGTGGTATTAACACTTCACGTGATCTTGATTCTATCCCTCTGTTGATGCAGCCTAGCACTGTGTTGGCTTTTTTGGCAGCTAATTTTTAATGTTCTTACTCTCCCTCTTAAGAAGTTCACTATATAAACCCACATTAGCGGTATGTATTCAAAAGCAGCCGGAACATGGATTATCCTAATCACCAGGGGCGTTTTTGCATGTTTTGGCCTGACCCTGATTTGCTCCTTTGTTTGGCCTGTGATGTAAGTTCCTTTCTGTGGCTGCCTGGGTTTAATTAAGGCTTTGCCCACCAACGCCCTCAATCATCACCCAGCCTTAATGGGGCTCAGCAAGCCAACATCTGTCCTTAAGCTATGTTTCAAGGCATTAGAACCACCATGCAGGAAATAACCTAGTTCTGCCACTCGTGGTTTATTTTTCGGATGGAGAAGTTCTTCAGATAACGTGTTGCTCCGTTCAAAGCTTGACTTGCACCAGAATGTTGACGTTGACCATGAGGTGCTCCAGATCTTTATGGTCCCATCATCTACAAACTGCTATATTAGATGGGGAGGTTGGTGCTTATATGAGTTTTAAGAATCCATCTTTGCATTCTGC